CTGAAATAAATAAACCAATCCCGTTTCGATTGTCCTTTAATTGAAAAAAACTCCCCTGCGCCCTCGCGGGTGCGGAAAAAGGAGGTGTGACACTCTGTATGGCCCCCATACATCACAATGAATTAGTTCAAAAACAACATTTGAAGTAGCAGTACTTAGCTTGTAAGGTAACTTTGTCTGCTTGGCTAAAAGACATACAATGCAGTGTGCGTGATGATCCTTCAAACTACTTAGAGTTGTATGCTTCTTGATTACATCTATAGGTGCATGACCTAATCTTCTGTGCCACAGTGCACTAGATTTAGAGTGTTCACTAGTCATACAAGCAGACTTATTCTCAGGCATAGTAGACTTATATACAGAGTTCACCTTAGATACTTGCTGCACAGTTTTATTCCTTTGTTGAGTTGGATCATGACTAAATATACCACCTACTAATGACTTGCCTTGTAATAGGTACAGTCCCTTGTCCTCCTTACCAATCCCCTTCACCTGACCATTGTAGAGATCCTGGAAGATACAGAAGTCGGGAAAAAATGCCACAAGACACTACAACTCTTTGGTCAGTTTAGATACTGATAGTAGATTGTACTTAAAATCTGGGATGTACAATACATTGGTGATATCCTGATTGGTAAGAACACTTGCTTTTCCTATATGTTTAATAAAGGCAACATCCTCTGTTGGCAAGTAAACTTTACTTCCCTTTTGAAAGGAAATTGATTGACATGAACTTAGCATTTCTAGTGTGGATGTCATATAATTTGAAGCTCCAGAGTCTATTATCCAATTGAGATTAACATGATTGGATAACAGAGCTATTAGTTTACCTGCAGTTGCAGCTCTGGCAGAGGGGCCTTCATCTGCTCCCTTGTTAAGTAGTTGCACTATCTGCTGGTATTGCTCCTGTGTAAAGTAAGGAACTATTTGTTGCTGAGTCTGAACTCTAGTTGGTACAGCATTCATCTGTATTTGTTGAGGTTGGAAACCAGGTGTAGTAGAAGTCTCACCCTGTAAACCTCCAAGCTGCATCTGCATATGAGCATTTTGCATAGTAGGACTGTAATTGGTATTGACATGATTAGTATATGCTCCCGAGTTGCTTCCCTTCTTCTTCATCTTAAAGTTGGACTTGAAGTCTTGCGGATACCCTATTAGTTTGTAACAATTCTCCCTAGTGTGGCCTTTGTAGTTACAATAATCACAAATCAGTGTCTTCTTCTAAGCTCTAGATTGTCCAGTGCCAGGATTTGGATTTTTGTTGCCATACATAGCAGTGTTGTCACTAACTTCTATTACTTGCACCATTTGCGTAAAGTTTGCCAGGTTTCTCTGAATTTCGGCATCCATAAGAAGAGAATATGTCTTGTTAATACTAGGCACTGGTGTCATCATCATTATTTGGCTTCGAGCTTGGGAATAAGAGTCATTCAGTCCCATAAGGAACTGAAGCAACCTATGATATTCAAAGTGCTCTGCATATTTCTTTGACTCTAAACATGGACAACCAGGACAAGGAATGAGTGCATCAAACTTATCCCATAGATCTCTTAATTTCGAGAAATAATCAGCTACATTCATTGTTCCCTGTGTTAATGTATGGATCTCTCTATGCAAGTACAGAATCCTAGATACATTCACTTTGTCAACCTTTCCTTCAGATCTTCCCATACCTTGTGAGCATTGGAAGCATACACTATAGTGCTTAACAAACCTGAACGCATAGCATTCATAATCCAAGAGAGTACCACAACATTTACTTTTTCCCATTGCTCATGAAATTCAGGTTTGAACTTCGATATTGGATATCTACCATCCACAAATCCTAGTTTGCTTTTACCTAACAGACCTATTCTCATAGATCGACTCCACAATGCATAGTTATCCGAACCAGTTAGCTGAAGAGAGATGAGTGAGCTACCTGGAGTATTTGTCGGTTGAAGAAATAGAGGGTGATTGTGATCTATCGTAGGGAAAATAGCTGGAGTAGTTGGTACATTCGCACATCTGGGAGCACTCTCATTTGTTTCGTCTTCTATTGCCATTGAAGAAGCTTTTCAGATGTCAAATTGAGCAGAACCCTAGCTCAGAGGTGTTGTTACCTTCAGACACTTCAGCTGAACTTCAGTAACACACATACACACAGATGAGCGAGGTACTAAGCTCTGATCATAGACACTAGCTCTGATACCATGTTAAGAATGGACCTTGGGCCTAACTCAACCCCAAAAGCTAGCTTATGAGGTGTGGATTGCCCAAGACCATATAAGGATACTAAGACACCCATTCTCCACCGATGTGGGATACAACTCAACACCCTCCCTCACGCCCAGGCCTGCAACTGGAGCGTGGACAATATAAATGGGGGCCCAACATCGATAACAATAAATTGGGATAGGCCTGGCTCTGATACCATGTTAGCTTCCATGGTTATGGAAGTTCTCAGATCAAGGTTAGCTTAGAGAAAAGGCTAAGAAGAGGAAGTGAGTAACTGTTCTATTGAGAATTGAAAAAATGAATTCTCTAATCTGTACATAAGCTCCTACTGTGTATTTATACACTTTACATACACTAACTGCCTAACTAACCACATTAATTAGATTAACTAACTACAGCTAGCTAACCATAGTTTACTAACTCCACTTCTCTCAACAAAGGCAACTTTGGATAGAAGAAGTTATTCCTTCTTGATATTTGAAAAAATAAAATATTATGGACCCCACAAAAAAAATCAAAAAAGACCATTGTCATTTTCACTTCACATAAAGTTGAACAAGAAGAATTTCTGACACATTCATATCTGCTCACAATGTACTATATAGAACAACAAATTATCATTTCAAAATAGAGAAGCACGTGCCAAGTGTAAAACCATATGAAAGTAGGCAAAGGAATGTAATTTTCTTGCAAGGAGACAGAAGCTAAAAGCCCAATTATTTTGGAGTTTCAAGTTCAACTTCGTATTTGAATCTAGAAAACTGAACCTCCAATTTGTCTCCTACTGTAAAGGGAATTTGGCTCTTGTAATTTTATACAGCTAAAATTACAGTTGCATTTCTCGCGGTACCCACTTGTTTGATAGTATTACACAGTATATCAGAATGAGCAGTACTAGTTGTCACACCTCCTTTTTACGCGCCCGGGGGGGCGCANAGTAGGGTTTTGACGCTAGGGCTTCTTCTTCTTGTTGTTGAAGAAGAAGACGATGAACAGTAGTCGAAAAAACCCCAGGTTTCTGCTTCTTCTTGCTTTTAAGAAGGAAGAAGAACAGTAATATTTCAAAAAAAAAAATTCCCAAAAAAAAATCCCCCTTCGTTCGTTGGCTTTCCCGTGTTTTGTAACACAATGCCCATCAAAATGAGCCCCACGCGTGGTGGGGTTCGAGGCATATGTCCCCCACGCGTGGTGGGGTTCCCCATGTGTCCTGGACACTGTTTATTATGGGTTAGGTCCAAAAATTAGACCTAAAACCGGGTAGTTTAAACCCGAATATTATTCTTTTGCCCGGACCCGAGAAATAGGAACACGTTGCTTAACTAGTCCT